AAATGAAAATAAGTAGATATCAAACTTCTATATATGTATATAGAAAGAGAAAGAGTGAAGGATAGATAGATAGAAAAAAAAAAAAAGAAAATATGAGAAAGAAAGAAAGAAAGAAAAAAAAAAGGGATTCATTTGAAAGCAATGGCGAAGTTCGATCGAGATTCGTGATAGAACGTATCGATTGTAACCATTCAACAGCATCAAATTTACATTGCTAATTTTGCCGACTTTCTCGCTTTTCAGTGAAACGATTCTTTCGATTCTTCTTTCGATAATAAAATAAAAAAAAAAAAAAGAAAATTAAAGAGAGAAAAAAACAAGAGTGAGAGACAGATAAAAAAAAAACAGGCAGATGAATAGAAAGAATAAAAGCTTAAAAAAAAAAATAAAAAAAAAGAAAAGAAACTGAGGGTTGCAACAAAATGGTGAAAGATGGACGACGAACGAAGACATTTTTCTTTGATAAAAGAGCATCATTTACTTCTTCTTCTAGCCGGAGTTTCGACACATGCGGGGAGTCCTATTTTATTTCCCTGATGAAATTTCATTCCTTTCGGAATACCGACGACCGATTCTCCCCAAGCTCTCTCTCTCTCTCTCTCTCTCTCTCTCTCTCGCACAATTTACTACGAAGACTCTTTAAAAGTTCAACGTTTGACGAATAAAGTCATCGATTGATTTTTTATTTCGTCACTGCGTCGAAATATAATTTTCAATTTTTTTATTTCCTTTTTTTTTCTATTTCTCAAATATTTTCAAGACAATAGAGAACAAAATCTTTATCACGTTTTAATATTTATAATTTTATTTAATATTATACCATTCATATTGATTATTATTATTTTGATTCATTGAAAATAATTTCAAGATCCCCTAATTATTCTCGAAAAAAAAAAAAAAAAGAAGAAATTTTGTTCATCCTGATAAAAAATGAGTCTAAAGTGAATTAAAATTCTAACGAAAAGTAATGCACCTCTCTCTCTCTCTCTCTCTCTCTCTCTCTCTCTCTCTCTCTCTCTCTCTCTCTCTTTCACTCATATTTATTCTAACCAATTTATCTCGGTACCAGATTAAAAAAAAAAAAATAAAAGAAAAAAAGGCCAAAAAAAAAAAACAAAACGAAATATTACGATTCTGTACGTGTTCGTGAAAAACCCTAGCAATGAAAGGAAAAGGATGAAAGGTTGGAAAATGAAAAGACGTTGTATCGTGGAATGACAAAAATATCAAAAGAAAGAGAGAGGGAGAGAGAGAGAGAGAGAGCAATACAGGAAGAAAGAAAGAGACGGTCAAACGCGAATTTCTTGTACGTAGCCTCGAGTAATACCTATATACTTCTAACGTAACCTTTTATATATTACATATACATATATACATATATATATAAAAATGTTGATTTTCTGTGTCACCGAATCACACATACAACTTTCTCTATATTCTTCGAGGTTCTTCTCGAACGTCCGTCGTTTCCTTTCCCATTTGCATTTCTCTCACTTTTATCCACAATCTACCTACAACTCCCCCTCACTAACCACCCACCCACCCTCTTGGCCCTTATTCCACTCTTAACCCATCCACCCCCTCAAATCCATTCTCCTCTCTCTCTTCTTCTTGCCCTTCTACGAAGCATAAGGATACTGGTAATCCAAAATCCAATCTCCGATGTTTATTCCCCTCGAAAAGGGGGATCCTAGAGGATGACTGAAAAGTAAAAGGGTAAAGGGATGATGAAATGTGAATGGGTGAAAAAAGGAAGGAACTTCTTTACTTCCGTCCTTGCTCTCTCTTCCTCTTTTTACTACTTCCTCTTCAGCAGTTCTGATTTAAAATCGCTGAAGGAATGATGACTCGTGCAATGGAAATGAAAACTAACGGAAATTTTATTCCATGGTAAATGGATGGATATTTGTTTATTTGTCAAATGCTCGAAAATAGATTTCGATATTTTCTACGTTATTTCGATGCTGAAGAGAAATTTCAAACGAATTCGATGATTTAATTGTGTGAAATAATTATTTATAAAATAAATAAATATAAAACAATAATTATGAGAAAATATTGATTATGATTAGAATTTCTTCGAATATTATTTGCAGATATTTCTGGACGTGTTAAAAATAGATTTCAATGAAAAATTACGAATAACTATAATAAATATAATTAAATAACTATATTTCAAGCAAGTGATGATAGATGAATAAATAAAATATTGTTGATCTAATGAATTTGTTGATACATTCAGTACATTTGAATAATAATTTTATATGTAAAATATTATCATACGTAATTTGAAATTAAGTTTGAAATCGTTCATGATTTGCATTAAACGAATATATCATAAATGAAAGATTTTCCAAACATCATGGATGAATCTAACGTTTCGTTCTTGTTTGAATGTAGCGTCTGGATTAATTTACATAAGAGATGAGAGGCTTTACATGCGAGAAATCCTAGCGCATGTGATTAAGGTCATTATTTGAGATTTGAAAAGGGTTGAAAAAAAGAAAACGATATGAAAGAGAAGAGATAATTTCGAATGAAAAAAAAAAAAAATAATAAAGAACAAAAAGGAAAAGAAATTAGAGAAAAAAAAAATCTCCCGAAAGTTTTTTAAATCGAGACGAAAGTTAATCAGAATTATCCGCTTAATGTAATCGAAATATTTCATATTCTCTCACAATGGGCGCAGCAATCATGCACAACATATGATAGATACATTTTTTTAAAATCATATTCGTCATATAGAATAAAAATTAATTCATATTATTTATTTCATTAACAATTATTTATCGTATTACTTGCATAATAATGTTAATTTGTTAAATCAAATTAAAACCTTTATACTTAATATGCACTATAATAAAAAATGCGTCATTTTCTTTTGATTATATTCCCTATAAAATTAATATAACATATTCTAAAAAAATCGAAAAATCTAAAAAACAAAAAATACAATGCAACATATTCCCTCGTGGACCACTACGAGTGTGCAAAGTTAGAAAAAAAATTAGAGATTACACATGATTGCTGTGCCCTTGTCAGTCATAAACGTTCGAATATATAATCTTATATGATGTACATATATATATATATATATATATATATATATATATATATATAAAATATATTTCATATATACATATATAAGGATATATTTAAGCGTTCCCTCGATATTTTCCTTACGGAGAAATGGCATGAACGTTCGTGATGCATCGGTGCATACCTAAACTGCATAAAATAGCTACTATCATATACGCTCATAGTCCAATGTGCGACGAAATATTCAACCGGCTAAAGCTTCACGTTGAATTTCGCTCGAGTGCGATTTCGCGCCCGTATTACGTCTATCGAAAAGTAACCGAGTAGAAAAATCAAACAGACCGTACAATCTTATCGTCATTTTGTTTCCAATATATATAACACGCTATCCCCCATATATGAAATTTTTTCAATGCAATTATCCCTCCTAAAGAAATACAATTTTTTAAACAAATATTTTTCCACATAATCTACACATAATTATGATGGTAATAAGTATAATGATTATTTTTGTTTTTTCACGATAATAAATGATCACGATTAAACATTGACAAATTTAAAATCTTATAATTTGAAAGATAATTGCATATTTATTTTTAATTGAATGGAAATAAATACAATGTACATGAATGTGAATGCAGATGATATATAGGAAAATCATTAAACAATAGAAAAAAATATTGTTGTTATTATAATAATTCTATTAAAAAATGTGAAAAATGAAATAAAAGCGAATGCAATTACGTTCATGTCTTGGATGAAACGTAATCCGTAGACTACTCTCTCGAGGATTCTCACGTTAATGAAATTCTTGAAAGCATTGTCAGTATTGTATAGAAAAGTCTGTTCTAAAGACAAACGTAAAGATTAAAAAAAAAAAAATTAGAGAGGATTAAATACTAAAGAATGAAATATGTTGAAAAAGAAATTTAGTTTCGTATATACATCATTTTTGTTCTATTGTTCATAGTAAAAAGATAAATATATATATCTTGCTCACAATTAGGCACGAATTTTGTATTCTTTATTTTAAAACGTATTAAAAAAAAAAAAATACAATGTGAGCAAAATAATCATAAAAGGAAATATTAAAAGCTTATGTTCGCTAGAACGTTAGATAAGAAAAACTTTGGATACATTTGCTACAATTAAAGTTTACATGAAACGAAACGCACGAAATAACACGCGACCACTGGTAGTAACAGGGATCTGTTCATTCATGTATTTATTATTCAACGTGCATATGAAGCTCATACTGAAAGCACTACGAAAACTGCTAAACTTTTCTCGTTTAACGGATACCTACTTCACCGTTAATTCGAAGTTACAAGTTCCAAAAAAAAAAAAAACAAACAAATTAAAAGAGCAATATTTTCAGTCTACAAAGGAATATTCAACGTGTCAACGCAAACAGTAAAGAATAATCAATACGAAGTAATTAAAAGAACCATCAACGTAAAATATTTCATCTGTTAAATTAATCGTTTAACTTTTATAACACACAATCAACTGGATATTCAAAAAAGTGAAGTAGTATTTTTACAAATCTTACCTAACTAACGAATCACACGATTTTCCGATCTTGAAACAAATATAGACATTGAAGATAATAAAAGATGATTTTCACGTAGATAAATATGAACGATGATTATTAAGAACTTTGAAAGTAATCGTTAAGTTGAATCAAGTTGAAATTACAAAAGCACTAATCGAGCAATCAATTTTTTATGATTTTATAACCTAACGACTTAGCATTGAAGTATTTATAAAAGAACAGAAAAAAAGGATCTTCTTCTTCTCATCAATTGCAATTGCATTTTTTTTTGTCATCTTGTCATGATCACTGTCATCAATCGTTTGAATTTAAAACACGCGTGACACGTAATATCGAAACTAATAATACGAAAAAAAATACAAATGTTGATATATCTTGGCTATAATCGTTGATGAAAAATACTCACCGATTGGTAGAAGGATACCAATGACAAAGGATAGAACACAGAGGATCCTTTTTAATCTGAAACTTCTCCGATCGCACATGGCGCGCGATTTTACCCGCCTGTTTTATCGTCGTCCGTTTTCAAACGCTCGAGCCGTATCGCACGACCACTCGCGTGACTCTGAGTGTTCGTCGTTTTAGATTTCAAGTTTGAATCTCTGCCCCCGATCTCACTCCCTCTTTCGAGGATGCATCTCGGTTATACTCCGACTTCGAGTCTGAAAGCCATGCGCGTCAACAGCATCCAAACGCGGGTCCAATACGAGAAAGCGCCTGCTCAACATCTACCATCTCGACATGCATTCAATTTAGATTTAACGCCATCTATGATCTTTCTAATTAATGTTCTACTTATCCACGGAAATTGAATAAATGATTATTATTTTTTTACAGTTATCTATATTACCTACATTTGTTTTACTTTTGTGATACGGTCGATAAGAAAGGTAATGTACTAAAGGGAGTAAGATAAAACGATATTTCAAATAATATTTATGTACGAAAGGATAAAAAATGAAAATGATTGTGTGACAGATATCTACCTTATCGGCATAATCAACTTTATCGATAAAAAAAAAATAGAATATGTTTTCTTATGTGTGCTCGTCAATAATTTATTTAAATAATTACAACCAGTAACTCGTGCCGATTAGGACTTTTCATCCTCGGCAGGATTGAGCACTGGAGGAACTTTAAATTTTTACTCACAGCTTAAGAAGTTCTGCGATGACTTCAACACACTCCTACTTAGCAGCAAGTACTGTAGTCTGACGATGGAAGACGATACTTGATTTGCCATTGAAGAAGATCCATCGAAGAATTCATCCAACATTTTTGAAAGGAAGAATATCCATGATTATATCTGTAAAATAAAATAGAACAACACGATAAAATATCTAGAATATTATCCAAAATCATATAAAATAAAATCGAATAAAATGTAAATAAAAATGAATACTTACAATACATTCCAATAAAACGAAGCTCAATGGCATCACGGTGATGCAAACCTCGCGTGAATCTAATAACGAGGTATAAACGAAAATAAGAAACAATAGTTGAGTTTCTTATCGCGAAACCGAAATTTTATTATACGACGAACAACACTGATTCTATAATTCGCGTTTGATTTTAACTTATTACTTGCCCGATCACTGATTCTACAATTAATTCAAAGACTGCATTGCACGTAGTCAAATGCGAGAACAAACATTTCACTCCCGGTCACTTCACATGGGCCATTCGGACTAAGACACCGGCCCGTAGTAATGCAATTGCTTCGCGCACGATTGCAATCTGAAACAGAAATAAAAAACAATACTATTAATATCATTACTATTACAGAAAAGCATTAAAATTGTTGAGGTATTATTTAATACAAAAAATATACTCACTTTAAATCACTATCGACGAATGCACGATGAGTATCCTACCCTTAGGATGACGATGAACACACTTTTAAACCGAATAAAAGAAACTTGCGAGTTTCTTAACCGAGCAAACGAAACTTTAACATGCGACG